CATTCTGATCACACTCCTAAGTCATAAATCACCTTCTGAAGCTAACCGAACCATCGGAACTCACATCCGAGCCCTCTAACACATAAGTCAACATCCCATTGACTTTTCCAAATTAAGCCTTCTTAAAAGAGACTAAGTGTCTCAAACTTCACCAAAACCATTCCGGATTCAATCCAACCAACCCGATACCACAAAACACAAATAACAAAGCATAAAGAAACAGAAATGGGGGAAACGGAGCGGTAACTCATAAGACGACCGGCCGGGTCGTCACATATATGACCCAAACGCAGGTGCCATAAATATGTTTCACTCAATTTAGAAAAACATTTTCTCTTATTTGAAAAATCAATATAATTCAGTTCTTTAGGCTGTAACAGTTTAGGAACAGAATCAACAAAAAAAAGACCATCAATCAGTGTAGCCGAAGAGAGATAACGCTTATTATGACTAATAACATATTTAGCAATATCATGAAAATTAATGTCATAACCATCTCTCATAGCGCAAGAGACAAAATTAAATTTCTTCTTAAGGAAGGTACATGTAATGTGTCCTTTAAAGTTGATACTCTATTATTACCAAACGAAATACTAATATTTTCTAATACTAAAGCTGGAGCTGCCGAACCATCAACTTGATAAAAATTGCTTTCCCCTCTACTTAGTCTCACCATTACCTGAAACCCCTACAAAAAAGTGCAGACATGATTAGTGGCTCTCCGATCTACAAACCATGACATGGTAGAAACAGCTACTAAAAAGATTTCAACGACAAGTAGATGTAAATCACCTGAATTATTATTTAACTTGACCAGATAAGCTGGACACTGTTTCTTATGATGCCCAGGCTTATTGCAGTGATAACATTTGCCCTTAGGCTTTTTCACACCACCAGTTATGCCTCCTACAAAGGTTTTTTGAGCCTTTTTCTTCTTCTGTCCGGCTCTCGGCTTATTAGAAGACCTATCTCAAAATTCAGTGCCACATGAAGAGCTTGTTTCTAGATAATTTTATCTGCCGGCCGCAGCTCATTCAACAATTTCGCAAGTGACAAATCTATTTTGGTCATATTATAATTCAAGCGAAACTGCTGAAACTGTCAGGCAGAGTTTGCAGGATCATCTCAACCCACGTATCCTTATCAATATTAGCTCCAAGGACCTCCAGTTAATTCAGAAGACTCATCATCTTTAGAACATGGTCCCTAACAGATGCACCTTCAACCATTTTGGTATTCGGAAGAGCTTTCATGGCAGCCCGCTTAGCCGCATAATTCTGATCTCCAAACATCTCCTTGAGATTTTCCAATATGTCATTAGTCGACTACATAGACCAATGCTGTTGCAGAACATTTGACCTAGATGCAGAATATAACACCACGCCATCTCATCAGCCTTAACTCATATTTCGTTGAATATTAATATTCAAAACACACTATATATATATATATATATATATAGCAACAAATTTCGATGAAAAAAGAGCTATTTTTGTAATATACATATGTAATGACAAATTATTCACTCCATGAATTTAAACAGGCCTTACTCAGATGGAGAGTAAACTGTTAGTTTAATTCTAGTGAATATCATCATTCAAGATATAGTCCCATTGAACCAACATGCATACCCATATGGAGAGTAAATACAAGTAATCAACAAGTATTACCTGGTGATTACCTATAATGAGTTTATCCGATATGAAAGAAGACCTACGTCGACATGTAAATTCCTTATATTACTAGAATTTAACCATGGAAACCATAGGGAACGATCCATGCCACCACTGGATTAAAAACAACTTAAATTATTTTTTGAAGAATTCCAGAAAATTAGAAAGCACCATCTAAACGATCCTTAATACCCGAAAAATGGGTTACATCATGCGCAAAGCTGATGAGTGTTGACCACTGCCGTTTCCATGGACCTATAAAATTCCAAGTCAATCGGAGTCCGTCAACATGTTGACCTCCAATTTTCTGACCAGTTCGGCCAAAACGTGTTTTTGCGTTTTTCTTGGATTAAAGAAAATTTCAGATTATTCTTATCAAATATCATCAATAATAAACAGACACTACATGATTTCCAGAATAGTAAAAAATTCTCAGAACAAATATTCATGCATAGAGTGGTGTAGTTTTTCAGAAAAACAATCTTTGTATGTAATTCAGGACTTGCATATTAACATGATGTTCCTCTTTCATGATCATCCTAATTATCTAATTAGACGTGCGTAGGCTCTGATACCAATTGATGGATTATATATCACAGCGTAAGCAATTGTAGTATCATATTCACGTGTAAATCAAACAATTAGCACATATGGAGATTATACGAGTTACCTCTTGAAGCGTGTATAAAGTAAATTAATCTCGGTCTCCAGTTCCAGAGTAGCAATACCACGACCTCCAAAATATATTCCATAATCTTCTACTGTATTACCCAAATAATATCTGAAAAGAGAACCCTATACCATGTATATAGCCACGTTTTTAGAGTAAAATCTTTTTCAAAACCTGATGGGTTTTCTTTTTCCACAAAGAAAAGGTTTCCTTTATTTTCTATTCTTTAGGTACAGTAGGGACCACATAATTTAATTAACAAGGCTCCTTATTATGGAATTGATTGCGAATTTTGAAATTAATTTCTACCACAATAAATTATGAATTATTCCACTAAAAATTCGTAATTCCACTCAATTCAATTTCGAAATTCTTCCATAAAACTTTATTTAACTCCACATGTTAAGATTCACATATTAATCAGTCAAATTAAATTACTGACAGTTTAATTTATTGATGACTTCCTTTAGACTTTCGTTTAACTTATTTCTTGTGTGGCATATAAAATTCACCGGCCGAGTTTACACACGTAAACTTATAAGCTTTCATAAATGAGTGTCGTCAATCTCAAAACCGAGACAGAGATTCTATCAACTAATTATTATTTCGCCAATGTATATCATTATTGTCCAACTTACCAGGTTTATTGACTCATGAAAGAATTTCGCCTTTAAATAAATCAAAACAATAAATGACACACATAAATAATAATAATTATCAAGATTAAGAGTATAAGTACATTGAATGGACTAGAGAAATTATTTTATTAAGTTAGTATAAAATACTTATCTCTACTTGATCCATTCAATACATATATAATATAATCAGAATTAAACCATTCCCACAGTCAAAATAAATTATATTTAATCTTGTGCTACAACCATTCCGATGTTTTGTCCAATTCCATCATTACATTGTTAATATAAACTTTATGACTTATAAAACCCGCGCATGGTCACAATCCACTGCCTTGATCGGAGGCAGCCGAGAATGTTATGTAAAAAAGACCAAGGGCCCTATCTTCTTGGAGATCATTTACCCTTTCGTGGAAGCTACTGGACTGGACTGATTGTAAAGAAAGAAGCCAAGAGGCCGCTCTCAGCATCAATAGAAGAAAGACCGACCGTATCTTCCCCCGAATTAGTAAATTAGACAGGATTCTTTTGTCCAGAATAAAAAGTGGTGGGTCAATTTTCAAAAATTTCACCGTAAATGTGAAATATCTTTTTTTGGGCTACAACTTCACCGACTGACTAACATCCCTTTACACAGTGCATTTTTAGAACAAAGAAGACCAAACACTAAGCACTCTTAATTTTATTTTTCAATTTTCTTCTAGTATTCAAGGCTCTTTATTTTGGGGGCGTATATGATACCTGGGCTCCGAGAGGGGGAGATGTAAGAAAAATTACCAACTTAGCCTCCAAGGATAAAGGTACATGAACAACCATTTGATCTCCATCAAAATCAGCATTAAATCCCTTGCAAACTAATGGATGTAAACAAATAGCGTGCCCCTGCTCTGATGTCTCGCCTGCCTGCTTGGTTATAGAGCTATAAGTGAGCAGGGCTTTTGAAAATAGAGACGTAGAGCAGCTAGGAGCAAAATATTAGAAGAGCGCCCTCTCTTTTCTTCGGGAAATCGAGTTCGCTGGATACGACCCCATAAAAAGACTGGAGTTGTTGAGAGGTTTCATATTGCCCAGACAAAGGACAAAACTTCTGTACGTGATCGTAGTATGTCACGTCGTCTCGTCCCCGCTGCATCGAAGAGTACCTATGCATTATGTTCCGGTTCACTGATAAGGAAGATAGCGTTGGGGTGGGGGTCTACGATGTGATACTAAAGAATAAGACCCGATGATTTAATCTTCTATGTATAAGCTAAACTCTATATAGTAAATCATCTGCTATNAGGCTACTGCCTTCAGGAAAGGGGATTGGGAGGGGGGGGGGGGCTATAGGTCAATTAATTTTATCTCCAATTTATTTAATATTTCAAGATTCATCCAATTACACAAACGGCTAAAACGGCAACCTTTTACATGAGAAATCCAAAAAGTTATAGGATCGACCACCCTTAGCTCTCTTGATGAAGTAGACGAATTCAATTTAAAACAAAAAAGAAAAGGGTCAATAATTCCGATGATTTTCGATAATATTAGCGTCAACTGAATAATTGCAGACACTGCAAATTGCAAAAGAGAGTGCTCTATTGTCTTTATGTTAATTTGATATCTTGTTATCAATGAGGTAGCTCAGAGTTTGAAACAGACAAGAAGAGGCAATATTTGATTTTGCATTCTTGATTTTATTGTTGCAACTTGTAAAGAAGGGACCCACCTGTTTTTAATGTGATTGGAGTAGCTTAGCCTTTGAACCTTTGCACCACGTGGTATACTACTATACCATTCCAATTTCACTCCATTGATTTTTCTGTCCTTAAATGTTATCCTCCACATATAAATGTATATGTATCATATACTACAATAATTAATGCCAACCAAGAATTTTTTGCCTATAAGTATATACTAGTATCTAATAAGTGACAAGATTTGTGTAAATATTTTTACATCATTAGCGCGTAAAATTTAAACTAGTATAACATTAAACCAAATTAAATATCTAACAAGAAATAATTGTGTCATTCTAATTCTTGCATTACTAATCCTAAGATAGAGCCGACCCATAATCCAAATCCAAGCGCTTATGTATTCTCACATGTGTTGTTGACATGCCCATGTCGTATTACTTATCTATTTAGACTCCAGCCTGCTGAATTCATTTAACACCCAATTGGCCTGAGAGTCAATACTGAGAGGAATTCTTTTTATCACTTTATCTCCGATCCCTTTAAAGAAAAGAAGAAGAAGAAGCAGCAGCTAACATGCTGAAGAGGATAGCTTCAAGGTTATTCTAGCTCAGACTCTGATCAATCTTTATAACAACTTGAAGCACTATAAGATATGACTTTTCTTATCAGTTGTTTCTGAATTCAGCTTAATTCGACATCTATTGGTCAAAATTAACAAATGACAGGGTATTCGTATGGTTCAAATTTGGCAAGGTGATGGATTTCTTAGTTGTGTTAAAATGGATTCCTGGCCCTGCCAATGACGTATTTAATACTTTTGTTTTGATCATTTCCTCGTACTATATACCTTATCTTTGCCATCTAATTTTTTGTTTTCCTATTTCTAACTTAACTACAGGAGCATGATCACGTCCACATCCTTGCTACTCCAAACCTTCAATAAGGAGTTTTCTACTCACACACCAAGGTCTCTCTCTTATTCTGAGTATATTACCATATGTCACATGACCGTACTATAAACACCTAAAAACTGTTTTTAAAATTTTCCAGAAACATGAAAAATAAATCAAATCTTATAATTAAAAAAAAAAAGGTATTGTAACTTTTTATTTTTAGGAATGAATATCAAACAAACACAACTTCAAAATTGGCCAAATGTTTTTTGGCCAAAAAAGTTTTCAACCTTGTTTTCGTTCCAAACGGTCACCTAGTTGATTATCCGAAGCTGAAAGTAATTTTGTGAATATGTAAGGAAACTAGAAGGCAAAGTGGCGCTGATAACAGGGGCGGCAAGTGGCATCGGCAAAGAAACCGCAGTGAAATTCATCAGCAACGGTGCCAAGGTCATAATCACAGATATACAAAGGCAGCTCGGCAAAGAAACAGCCTCCGAGCTTGGACCAAACGCCACCTTTGTGGTCTGCGATGTATCCAAAGAATCCGACATCTCCAACGCCGTGGATTTCGCCGTCTCTAGCCACGGACAGCTCGACATAATGTACAACAATGCAGGTATATTCATAGGCGAATTCAGCATATAAGCAATTTACATGTGACGTTATTACTGATTTGGTTGTGTAAATATCTTTTACAGCACAATACATATAGAACTTAAACTTTTCTTTTTTTAAATTCTGACTCCGTCTCTGTAGGCATTGCATGTAGTACTCCTCCAAGCATCGTGGACCTTGACCTCAGGGCGTTCAACCGCGTCATGTCTGTTAGAAAATATAACAGAATATAGGGACAAAATAATTAGGCTTTGATAGTGTAGTCACTGTCCTTAAGAATTTAAGCCTCCCAATTTCGTTGCTGCAGGGATTATGGCAGAATTCCTCCAGGATTTTACAAAGCCTCTGAAATTCGAGCACCAGCAATTAACTCGAATTTCCACTTGAACAAATTTGGTGAATTGAAGATAGCAGAAAAGAAGAAGATACTTTGTTGCTTTTCTGATGATTTTTGTTTTGGAGAAGAAAAGGATATTTATAAACCCTTTAGGTGTCTGTTAGGACTAACAGACTCAACCTTTGCCAATAGGCACCTTTTAAAACAAAAGTCAGCTCTTTTCAAATACTCCCATCAAAACACTAACTAATATAATAACCCCCCACTTAGTTAGTGATTGATGTTGTTTATAAGATTCATGCGTATAGTAGGTATCTTTCGATTTAAACCTACTACTTGTATAAACTATTCAAGACCTTGTCGAAATTGATGGTTAGATTAAGTTCTATTAAACCACAATTCCTTTTTGACAAGACGGAAAAGCTTTATACACATAAATCGTACCAACTTCACAATTTGTTCACCGTGAGTTTTAGCACCCAATTATGGCCTTGTGCTACTTCCTGAATTCATAAACACTTATCAAGTTTTGTATCCCAAACTTTGATCGAAGCGGCACCACTTCTTGTGTTTACATAGGTGAAGATTTAACCAAATCCGTAACACAGACTTCTTTAGTTCCTAAACCGAACTCTGCTTCTTCACCAAGAGTAATTTTTATACTCATCCTCCTTTTCTAGGTACTATATTTCCAGTACCTGCTATCCGTCACAACTATAACTTGTTATTACATTTTAAACCTTTAATACTGTTGAACAATAAGAAAGGTAAGGTTCCCGTTACTAGTGACAAATTTAAATTACCTTAGAGCCATAGCACTTGTTGTGCTTATTATCATATCCCTCGCGAGTCCTTTAGTGAATGGGTCAGCAAGGTTGTCTTTAGACTTGATGTACACAACAGTAATAATTCCATCCGAAATTAATTGTCTTATGTACTCATGTCTTAAAGCAATATGTCTAGATTTTCCATTGTATATTTTGCTAAATGCCTTAGACATAGTTGTTTCACTATCACAGTGCAAGAGAACAGCTGGCATTGGTTGTGGCCACAACTTTATATCTAACAACAGATTTTTCAGCCATTCTGCTTCTCTTCTTGCAGCTGCTAAAGCAATAAACTCAGATTCCATTGTGGAATGAGTAATACACGTCTGTTTCTTAGAAGCCCACGAAATTGCTCCTCCACCTAAAGTGAATATCCACCCAGACGTTGACTTGTTATCACCAACACCAGTTATTCAACTAGCATCACAATATCCTTCTAACACTGAAGGAAATCTGTTATAATACAAGGCAAAAGTTTTTGTCTTTTTCAGATAACCAAGTACCCTCACTATACCTTTCCAGTGATCACCACTTAGATTGTGAGTATACCTTGACAATTTACAAACCGCAAAGGCAATATCTGGCCTAGTACAATGCATAACATACATTAAACTACCAATTGCACTAGCATAGTCTAATTGACTAACAGATCTTCCAGGGTTCTCAACCATCTTGCTAGAAGCATCAAACGGAGTATTAAATTCTTTAATACCCAAATGATTAAATTTGGAAAGAACCTTGTCAATATAATGAGACTGACATAAGGCAAAACCCCTACTATGTCTTTTAACTTTAACACCTAACATAGTATCAACTTCTCCCAAATCTTTCATTTTAAATTGAGAAGTTAAATACTTCTTAGTTTCATTTATGCCTTGCATGTTAGTTCCTATGATTAGCATGCCATCAACATAAAGACATACTATCACTCCATAGTCCTTTGTGAATTTGGAATAAATGCATTTATCTGCTCCGTTATGTTTAAAACCATTTGATAATATAACACTATCAAAATTTTCATGCCATTGTTTTGGAGCTTGTTTTAATCTATATAAGGACTTAACTAATTTACAAACTTTCTTCTCATTTCCAGGAAGCACAAACCCTTCGGGTTGCTCCATATAAACTTCTTCATCAAGATCACCATTTAAGAATGCCGTCTTAACATCCATTTGATGGACATTTAGATTATATATTGATGCCAAAGCAAATAATACTCTTATTGAGGTAATCCTGGCCACAGGAGCATATGTGTCAAAATAATCTACTCCTGCCTTTTGTCTAAATCCCTTGGCTACTAGTCTAGCTTTAAATGTTTGTAGAGAACCATCAGTATTGTATTTTCTTCTAAAAACCCATTTACACCCAATAGGTTTAGTATTAGAAGGTAAATCTGCCAATACCCATGTACCATTTGATAAAAGAGAATCCATTTCATCATTTACAGCTTCTTTCCAGAAAGAAGAATCCCGCGAAGCCATAGCCTCACTATAGGTTTTAGGATCCTCTTCTAAATTTAAAATAATGGGTATTTTATTTAATACTTCATCTCTACTTCCTTCTACCAAAAAGACTAGTGCTTGAGAAGAAATAAAATCAGAACCTATATTTTTTTCTTTTCTAACTCTTTGACTTTTTCTTGGTTCTACAGGAGATTCAATTGCCTTTCTTTTATTGTTAGAAGAAGAACTAGGTTCTGCACAATTTTCTTGAGTTACTGCATTATCACCAATGCTTGTTGCATTACCATCTTGTTTAGTAATTTCTGTGTCCTCATGTGAATTATTAGAGTCACCAATGAACTTTGTTTCCAAGAACTCAACATCTTTAGATTCCACAATATACTTAGACTCAATGTCCAATAATCTGTATGCCTTTGAGTTCTCAGCATATCCTACAAATATGCTTTTAATTCCTCTAGGTCCTAACTTAGTCCTTTTAGGATCTGGAATTCTATAATAGGCTAAACAGCCCCATACCCTTAAGAAATTTAGGTTAGGCTTTCTTCCTTTCCATAATTCATATGGTGAAACCTTAAATTTCTTTGAAGGAACTCTATTATGCACAAAACAAGCCGTTAACAAAGCTTCCCCCCACAAATTCGTTGGTAACTTTGCATGTAAAAGCATGGCATTAACCATATCTACCAACGTTCTATTTTTTCTTTCAGCAAGACCATTTTGTTGTGGGGTATACGGTGCACTAACTTGGTGAATCAAACCATTTTCTTCACAAAATACAGAAAATTCATTGGAAAGATATTCGCCTCCTCGATCACTACGTAGGATTTTAATCTTCTTTTCCAATTGATTTTCAACTAATGCTTTGTAACTCTTAAACATATCAAATGCTTGATCTTTTGTTTTCATTAAGTAAACATGTGTATATCTAGAATGATCATCTATAAAAGTAATAAAGTATCTATTTCCACCTCTAGTTAAATGACCATTCAATTCACATATATCGGAATGCACAAGTTCAAGTAGATTACTTGTTCTTTCATTCTTTGGAAAAGATTTCTTAGTCATCTTAGCTTGTATGCAAATTTCACATTTTTTATCATTATTCTCAACAGCAGGAATTAATTTATTTTTAGACATAAACTTAACATATCGAAAATTAACATGTGAAAGTCTAGCATGCCATAAATTAATAGATGACTCAATCATATAAGCAGAAACTTCAACTTTATTAATACTTAATTTGAACATGCCCTCACAAGAGTAGCCTTGTCCTACAAATACACCATTCTTAGAGAAAATAATCTTTTCTGCCTCTATAACAGTTTTGAGGCCTTTCTTACTTAATAAACTTGCAGAAATTAAATTCTTCCTAACATCAGGTACATGATGAACATTAATTAAAATCAACTTCTTTCCCGAAGTGAATTGTAGTTCAACTGTTCCTTTTCCAAAGACCTTGGCGGTGTCATGATTTCCCATTAAAACCTTTTCATCACTTGTTGCAACTTCATAATGTTTGAAGAAACTCTTGTCATTGCATACATGAACTGTAGCAGCGGAATCATACCACCAATCTACAGATTTCATAGTTGCTGCCATGTTGCATTCAGTTACCATACTCAGATTCAAGTTGGTAAAAGCAGAAATCATAACAATAATATCCGAAGAAGAAGTTTGTTGTTGTTCAACATTATTTACCCTCTTCTGTCCAGCATTTTCTTCATTTTTCTGTCTCTTACGAAACCTGCAATCTCTCTTAAAATGACCCATTTTTCCGCAAGTATAACATGGACCTTTCTTAATGTTAGAAGAATTTTCCTTTGGAGCAGCCTCAAACTTTCTCTTCTTTCCAGCCTTGTTTCCAGATTTTCCTGAGTTGTTTGCCTTACTAAACTCAACATAATTCACCTTTGAACTAGTTTCCGCAGCATATTTATTTTCACATTTTCGTGACTCTTCTTCAATCCGAATATGCTTTGTCAACTGGTCCACATTAAAGTCTTCGAAAGAATGTAATAATTTCTTCCTATAGTCATTCCAAGTCAGAAACATCGACTTTAAAATCTTTGAGTCTAGATATCAAAACCAGCAACTCATCAACCTGTTCCATGACAGATTTCCCATCTATCATTTGAAATTCAAAAAATTTCATTCCAAGGAATCTGTCCGTTCCTTGCTTCACAACAATATATTTCTGTTCCAAGGCTTTCCAGATTTCTTGTGGTAATTTGTGAGGACGGAACAAATCATATAAACGATCAGAAAGTGAGTTTAAAATAAAACCTCTACAGCGCACCTCATCATCTTCACGTTTTTTTTGCGTGCCGCCTTAATTTCGTCATAGTCTTCAGCAGTAGGTTCCGGCATTGCAGTAAGATCAGAACTCAACAGATATGCTATTCCCAACTCCGTGAGAAAGAAAAGCAATTTGTCTTTCCAGCGGGTGAAATTTGAGCCATCAAATCGATCCAGTTTGAACACTTCGAGCATCTTATTGAAACCAGAATCACTACCAGAAGCCTCCATTGCACTGTTGTTAAATTCCTTAAGATTGTTAGAAAATATAACAGAATATAGGGACGAAATAATTAGGCTTTGATAGTGTAGTCACTGTCCTTAAGGAATTTAAGCCTCCCAATTTCGTTGCTGCAGGGATTATGGCAGAATTCCTCTAGGATTTTATAAAGCCTCTGAAATTCGAGCACCAGCAATTAACTCGAATTTTCACTTGAACAAATTTGGTGAATTGAAGATAGTAGAAAAGAAGAAGATACTTTGTTGCTTTTCTGATGATTTTTGTTTTGGAGAAGAAAAGGGTATTTATAAACCCTTTAGGTGTCTTTTAGGACTAACCGACTCAACCTTTGCCAATAGGCACCTTTTAAAACAAAAGTCACCTCTTTTCAAATACTCCCATAAAAACACTAACTAATATAATAATGTCTATCAACGTTGGAGGTGCGGTGGCAGGAATCAAGCATGCCGCTCGGGTGATGATTCCGCGGCAAACCGGTTCCATTTTGTGCACAGCTAGAGTTACTGGTGTAATGGGAGGTCTAGCGCCATTCACATATTCGACATCCAAATCCTGCATAATCGGAATTATGAGATCCGTAACACCGGAGCTATGCAAGAACGGAATCAGAATCAATTGCATATCGCCCTTTGCAATTCCGACACCATTAACAGTTGACGAAATGAAACTGTTTTTCCCGGGAGTGGAGGCTCAGCAACTTGCTAAAATGGTAAATAATGCAAGCGAGTTGAAAGGAGCCTACTGTGAGCCCATTGATGTGGCCAATGCTGCTCTATATTTGGCCAGTGATGATGCCAAGTATATTAGTGGCCAAAACCTGGTGGTAGATGGAGGTTTCACTACGTTTAAAAATTTAAATTTTCCCTTGCCTGATCAACAGTCGAGTAACGCTACATAAAGTTACTACAGGAATGTGTTTCTTGATTATATTTATTTTGTTATTGTCAAATGAACAATGCAACTCTTCTTCATCAAGAATGTTTTAATTGGCAGCTAATAGTTCAAATTTGCTTTAATGGGCAGTCACGGAAAAAGAAGAGAAGTTGCTAAAGATTTGAAACCTCCGAAAAATAGTCAGTGGAGTAGTCACGTCTCTACCGCAATCCAACTTGCGTTTTATAAAAGAGAAAGAAGAGCATACTCTACAAGTCAATTAACTTTGTGTCCATTAATTTTAACATTGCGAAAGAGTGTATCCATTGCCTTTATTTTGATTACTTGTTACCGATTTGGTAGCTCAAAGTAATATACATAAATAACTGAGTTTACAATTAAATATTTATAAATATGTAATTAAATTTAATACATATATAGAGCCTGAACAAAAGTTATTAGATTCCCGTGAACCCATACGCAGTGGCAGAGCCACATGTAATCAAGGTGTATCAACCGGCACCCTTCATCTGAAAATTATTTTGTAGCTTGATAATTCTTTTTAGTTTTTTTTTATGTATATTTATTATAGGGAAAAGGGCCAAATATATCCCTCTACTTTCGGATATTATCTACATTCAACCTCCATTATACTATCCGACCAAATTTATCCCTACCATTATACTATCCGGCCAAATTTACCCCTACCATCAGCAAAATTTTAAAAATTACCCTTTGGTCTGTTAAGTAATCCAAAATCTCCCAATTTCCTTTTATTTAAATCACTTGTTCTTCTTGCTCCACTATTTTCAGAAATTATTATTGATGTGAATGATAAAGGTACTAGACTATACAAATTATTTATGGATGTTTTTAATTACCAATGCACCCGCTAATCTTCTTGTGATAGTGAGTTTGGAATTGATTTAAAACTTTATTTATTTTTCAATCATATATACACATCGTAGATTCAGTGGGCCTATTTATTGTGTATTATATGCAGCTGATTGTCATGTATGTATATGTAAATATATTTTGTTATTGTCTGGTTAGTATAGAGTTCGATCGACTAACTTAAGTACAATTATAGGCATTTGATTAAAGCAAAGTTGGAATTCGACAATGTAAAGTCTCCATGTAACTTCAACTTCTATCACTAATACTTGTAAAGTCTCCATACTTTTGATGCAACGAATCCATTAAAGTTGGTATATTATAAATATTTTTGGAATTTAGACAAGCTACCTAATTTAGATTCTTCAACTCAATATACTTTGTTTACTTACCGTTGTATTATTTTAATATTTTTTTGTCTTTTTTTTCCAATTAAAAAGCAGGTAAATGCAAATTATTTTGAAAATAGTGGATCAAAATAAGAATATATGACTTAATTAAAATGATTTGGGAGATTCTGGGCTACCTGACAGGCTGAGGGGTAATTTTTAAAAATTTGCTGATGGCAGGGATAAATTTTGCTGGATAGTATAACGGTAGGGATAATTTTGGCCAGATAGTATAACGGTAGGGCTAAATTTGGCCGGATAACAGTATAACGGAGGTTATATGTGGACGATATTCAAAAATAGAGGAGTACCCCATCCGTTTCATATTAAATGAGGTACTTTCCTTTTTAGTCTGTTCCAAAACAAATGACACATTTCTAAATTTGGAAATAATTCAACTTTAAACTCTTCATTTTACCCTTTTTGCCCTTAATTAGAAGCTTTTATAGCCACACAAATGGCATGGCCCCACAAACCTTTTACCCCTTAAACTTTTAAGACTACAACTTTCAAAAGTTCTTCTTCTTTTTGTTAAACTCTGTGCCGAGTCAAACTACCTCAAATAATATGAAACGGAGGGAGTATATTTGGTCCTTTTCCCTGACACCCTTTGGCTTCTTCTTGAGTCTACTACCACTGCCCATTCGTTACACTTTGGATCCGCCACTATCTTCGTGGTTCCCAGCTAGCAATTACACGGGCAGAAAGACAACCAGGATAGAGGCTTTGACAAAGGGGTCAATCATTTCGACTAGCATGATTTTTCAAGGGAATCTTTTGATAGAGTTACATTAGGCCATCTCCAACCTTTACCCCATTTTTTGTCCCAAAAATGGGGATTTTCCCATTTTGGGGACAACTTACTCCAACCATTCCCCCATTTTTTCCCCAAACTTTTCTCTCTCTTCTATATTATATTATTATCTTTCATTTCAATTTCATTTTTTAATTTCAATTAAACAAATTCCATCTTTTATTTTTATTAATTTGTAATTTCCATAATTAAAACAATTTCATAAAATTTTAAATAATATAATTTGTAAGCAATTATTATAGATTAACTAATAATTCAAATTTGTAAGCAATTATTATACACCAAAGTTAAGATATAATATTAATATTATAAAAATATTACATAAACATAATTAAGTGTATATAAAGAGATAAAATAAAAAATTAAATAATAAAATAATAATAAAAAAAGTGATGAATAGTAATGGGGGTGATGAATAATGTACCCCCATATTTGAGGGAACACTATTCATCCCCCATTTTGGGGACAAAAATGGGGGAGGGTTGGAGTAAAATTTCCCCAAAAATTGTCCCCATTATGGGGGATGGGGGCAAGGTTGGAGATGCCCTTATTGCAATTTGTAAAGAAGAGACTGATGTTTAATGTGGCTTTACTCTATACCAAATGGTGTGCTATTCAAATTTCACCAATGATTATCTTGTTTTCTTTAATTTCCCCATTTGCTTGCAGATGCAGTTGTCCGCAAATAAATATAGACATACCCCTCCTATGCTAAATATTTTTTTTTAAAAGACTGAAAAAGAGAAAGAAAAATAATTTTAACCCTCTTTCAGTTAGTGAAGATATTATATATATACTAACTTTGGCCTTATGAATTCGGCTTGAGAGTAAATGCGTGTTTACCCATTTCACTGGTCTTTTACCACTGTGTCTTTTTGCACTTCTATCTTCGGAAACACTGGTCTTCTCTTTGGTGGAGACCCAATGAAAAATAAAACCAAAGAGATTGACGTTGAGTCTTAACCTCCAACTGTAAACACTACTATACCTCTTCATCTTAGAACCATATCCGATCTTCAGGAGCAAAAAGCACATGCAAATTTCACAAGTGGCAGGTTTTGGCCTGTTCGTAGGTACCCCTCCTCCGTTTGTCCTTCAAGTATCCCTATTTTGAAGGAGGGGCTGCAACTGCTCGGATGTCTAAATCTTCGCCCTAGATGGGGTAGAACGAGTTACCTACTCCAAAGTGGGGTTTATATATGTCTATACATATTCTTTTACTTTGGTCCCTTCACCCTGTGATCGAGTAAAGGACCTGAACCAATAATTTTGGAATTTTTCAATCGATACAAAGTCTGCTTGGCACAAGTAGGTCCATCCATATGGCGTACGTTGTCCTGCATTTTTCAGTTGTGCATCGAGATCGGAGAAACCCTAACTCTCGCACATATGATGAATATTTACTCCGCCAAGATTTTCTGTGGGGGAGTGTTAAACTTCAGCAAACGTGGTCACCATGCTCTTCTTACCAGCGTAGATGATGATAACGACTGAATATGGATAGAGCGGTTCATTGGTATTGTTACCAAGGACATCATCTTGATCACAACTCCAACTTTCTCCGAATCATGGAATCCTTTTCGTAAGTCTTCGGGTGTCCGTTTCCTTTTTTCGTAAAGATAATTTCTTGCATTACTGACTTTTTACTCCTTTCGTTTCAGCTTCTCACTAGGAACCACCACCGATTCACGGTCTAGACCAAGGGTTCATAAAGTCATGGATATTACAACTCCGGAATCTCGACAGTGGAAAGAAATGACTCACAAATACGGGTGTAGAGCCAAGAAACGCAGTGAGAAAAATGCTTCTTTCTTTCAATTTTATTTGTGTAAAACAGTTTAAGAAAAAATTATTAATCATCTTTTTGCTTGTATAGAGCTTCTAAGGGGTTTTTTCATGTGCCCCAATGTCGACACCCTCGATGATCCCAAGAAGGCCGAGTGGGTACTGCAAAATGCCCTTAATCAGAGTAGGGCTCGTGGATCTGCCCGAGCCTCCGGAGAGGGTGCCTCCTCTCGGAGTCCCCAGCCCAAAAATAAGAAACCGAAGTGGAGACGTTCCTTTTCGACTGGGACTCAGGAGAAAAGAATAAAGGGACCACCAATCGAGCCGGCCATAGTGGTCCTCGATGATGAAGAGGCTTCCCTTTAAAGAAGAAAAAGATCTTCATCAGCTCAATCGGATGCTCAGCTAGGGGAGCTCCAAAACCCACCAGCAGAAGAAGTTCAGGCGCTTTGGGAAATGGACTTGGTTGAGAATGTCGATTCTCGCTTTGCGACCCCTGCCGCCTCCGGTCAGAGGAGCTTAGCCCCTGAGCTCCTTCTACCGTCTACTTCTAAGCAAGTAACAACTGCCACTCCTTCTACCACAGTTGTTTCTTCTCCATCCACACCAACATCTCCTTATCCATCGATATCGACTGCCCATTCTCCACCAGCCCCGACTGCTTCTCTTCCACCGGCTTCAGCCGAACAAATAAGGAATGCTTCTCCTCTACGGTCTCCCGACCACAGGAACTTAGGAAATACGTACTCGACCCCTTATCAAGATCCTCGTAGGAGACAAAGTGCTATGCTACTCTTTCAGTTTTGAAAGAGTGCCAAATTCTCTCCAAGCCGGTGGAGCTTGCTAATTACCTGAAGTCGCTGGCTTCGGCAAAGGACTGGAGAAAGATGGACTCCCTTTCTGGGAAGTGCCTAATATACAATAGCATGCACTTCTCGGCGAACGTAACAATCTCGCCTTTTTCTACCTTCTTTCCATTTATGCTTCTAAGTAATAATCTTGATCTGATCCCTTTTTCAAGCCAATTTTCTTACCTCCGAGGTCCTGCAAAGGCTTATTTTGGGCATGCAAGGGCTTGTTTCAGAACAAGAACAATTGTTGGCTAAAAGGAATCAGCTCGCTGAGCGCCTCCCGGTGTTGGAGGCCAAATTGGTCAAATGGATGAGCTCGAGGCCCAAATGCAGCAGTCAGAGCAAGACAGGATGGCTCATAGCCTAGAAGCCGCCCAGCTTCACGA